TCGGAGGTCACTTTTACCGTATATCAAAAATAACTCCTTAGTCCTTTTAAGGTACTTAAGTATATTCTTGACCGCTTTCCAGTGCTCTTCTCCATGATCAGATTGGTATCTACTTACCAAACTGAGTGAATAAGCGATATCTGGTCTAGTACATAACATGGCATACATGATCGATCCTACTGCCGAGGCATAAGGAATTAGACTCATGCGTTTCCTCTCTTCATCAGTCCGGGGAGACATCTTTTTAGAGAGGGAGATTCCAGGAGATGCAGGTACAAAACCTTTCTTGGAATTTTCCATGCTAAACCGTTTTAGCACTTTGCCAATGTATCTAGATTGCGATAATCCTAACATCCTTTTAGATCTATCTCTATAGATCTGAATACCCAGTATACAGGATGCTTCACCTAAATCTTTCATGGAAAATCTTTTTGATAGCCAAATTTTAACCGCTTGTAATGACGGTATGTCATTACCGATTAAGAGTATATCGTCTACATATAAAATAAGAAACGATATAATACTCCCAATTATCCTTTTATACACACATGGTTCATCTGGATTTTTGATGAAACCAAACTCTTTGATAGCATCATCAAAACAGATGTTCCATCTCCGTGATGCTTGCTTCAGTCCATAAATAGATTTAAGCAATCTACATGCTTTTCCACTGCTCCCACTAACTACAAAACCCTCTGGTTGCGTCATATATATGCACTCTTCTAAATCACCATTTAGAAATGCAGTTTTAACGTCCATTTGCCAGATCTCATAGTCATAGTGAGCAGCTATAGCAAGTAGGATCCGAATAGACTTGAGCATAGCCACTGGAGAAAAAGTTTCATCGTAGTCCAAACCAGGTCTTTGACGAAAACCTTTAGCTACCAGTCTAGCTTTAAAAGTCTCTACTTTTCCATCTACACCCAACTTTTTCTTAAACAACCATTTGCAACCTATGGGTATCACCCCTTTAGGAGCATTGTCTAATATCCATACTTTGTTGGTGTACATAGAGTCTATTTCAGATTTCATTGCATCATGCCAAGCAACAGAGTCCCTACTCTCAGAGGCTTGCTGATAACTTAAAGGTTCGTCATCATCTATGACGTGATCTAACATGCCACCTTCAACTAAAAAATTATATTGTGTCTTAGGTGCATGAGATCGCCTTGGATATCTGTGGAGTGGTTGAGGTTCTTCTGGTATAACTGAATTTGCTGGTTCCACTAATTTATCAGTAATATTTTGTATCTCTGAAATTTCTTCCAGTTCTACCATGCTCCCACTAATTTCTTTTTCAAGAAATTCCTTCTCTAAGAAGGTGGCATGCCGAGAAACAATTATCTTTTGTTCATCGATGTGGTAGAATTGATATCCAATGGAATTCCTTGGATATCCTACAAATTTGCATAATACTGAGCGTGCCTCTAACTTTTTGGGATCTTGCTTCTTTACATAAGCATGACATCCCCAAATCTTAATATAATTAAGATGTGGTTTCTTCCCACTCCATATCTCATATGGAGGTTTAGGCACTGCTTTAGTTGGAACCCTATTCAGTAAGTGTGTTGCTGTTTCTAATGCATACCCCCAGAATGAAAAAGGTAACTCAGTGTTACTCATCATGGAACGTACCATATCTAATAGGGTACGATTCCTTCTTTCTGACACGCCGTTAAGCTGTGGTGTAAAGGGTGGAGTAACCTGAGAGAGAATCCCATTCTCTTTTAAAATACCTAAGAATTCCGAGCTCAAGTATTCACCTCCTCGATCCGATCGAAGAATTTTAACTTTCTTGCCCGTTTGGTTCTCTACTTCATTTTTGTACTCGATAAATTTCTCAAGTGCTTCAGATTTGTGTTTCATCAAAAACACATGTCCAAACCTTGAAAAATCATCAGTAAAAGTAATAAAGTAGGAGTAGCCACCTCTGGCCATTGTAGACATAGGACCACATACATCACTATGTATCAGTCCTAAGAGTTCTGTAACTCTTACTCCAGTTCCTGTAAATGGAGTCTTGGTCATTTTACCTTTAAGACAAGACTTGCAAGTCTCATAAGACTCAAAGTCAAATGGATCTAAATATCCATGCTTATGAAGCTCGCCAAGTCTTTCTTTATTAATGTGACCAAGTCTGCAATGCCATAAGAAAGCGTCATTCATAACTGAGTGCTTTCTTTTATTAGTGTGATAAGTGTTCAGAATTGTATTTTGATTAAGAATAATATAAATAATAACTATAAATGGTGTTTTGAAAACACGTTTGAAAAATAAACACCATGGTATGATATTTTTTTAAAAAACACTACAAAAAGAAACACTTGCCGTCGCCACCGCCACCGCCGCCGCCGCTATATAAATAATAACTATAAATGGTGTTTTGAAAACACGTTTGAAAAATAAACACCATGGTATGATATTTTTTTAAAAAACACTACAAAAAGAAACACTTTGGTTACCAAACACACTTAATTACAGGAATCACCAAAGTAACTATGAAAAGCATCCCTTCCGCCGCCGCCGCTATATAAATAATAACTATAAATGGTGTTTTGAAAACACGTTTGAAAAATAAACACCATGGTATGATATTTTTTTAAAAAACACTACAAAAAGAAACACTTTGGTTACCAAACACACTTAATTACAGGAATCACCAAAGTAACTATGAAAAGCATAAACACAGATGCTTCAACCTCAACGCTTGAAAGAAAGAACTCAATCTATCTAATGAAGTAAAAGAAATCCCAGAAATGCCAAAACAAGACCGCTGATATAAAAGGCCATTCATAGAACAAAAAGGGTTACAGGAGAAACAACCAGAAAAAGATTTAGAATAATAGATAAAGGTATACTTCCAAACAATAAAAAGGGTTACAGGAGAAACAACCAGAAAAAGATTTAGAATAATAGATAAAGGTATACTTCCAAACAATCCAAATCTACTGATTACAAAGAAACCAATAGATAAAGGTATACTTCCAAACAATCCAAATCTACTGATTACAAAGAAACCACTATGAGAACATATATAAAAACAAGTTAATCCCTCTTATTGTCGCTATAAATCTCTATGTTCCTGATACCATTTGCCTGCTTCAATACATTCTCTATCTCCATTCCTCTACCGTAGTTTGCTCGAGCAGACAATGCTGGTCCTGAGTATGGAGATTATAAATAAGTGTAAATCAATGACATTGCAAGGAAATCAATGATATTAACAAATTTCTTTTCTTAAGGCTTAAAAACTTGGAAGATATCACCAACATCTCTATGCAAAAACATTAGTACTTTATGGCTGCAACAATCTCTAGGAATAAGAACTCTATGTCCATCCCATACTCTATTTCTAATGACATGTACATATGCAACTAAGGTATACGTAACATAGCATAAAGATAAACTGAGAAATTCTGCAGACAAAAAAATAACAACAACAACGATGGTTGACCGCATGAATTCTTTCTTCCGTCAACATTTATTTAGGGGGCAACTTAATTAAATTACTAATGTGTGAGCAGAGGGAATTTCAACAGGAATTCTCTTTAACACGTAACAAATACACACACATGGGTGTTGGTAGGAACCATTTTCTTCCACTTAGTAATAAAAACCACTTTCACTTTGGTTACTAATATATAAGCACAGAGAATTTCAACAAGAATTTATCTATAACACGCAACAATGCTAGTGGTTTAATACAGTAATTAAAGCACTATCAACCTGCTATCTTTCACCATCCCATGCATCCCTCCAGAATATTAATTTTGATGTTGGTAACTATTTACAATGCATAGGCTGTTAGCTTTTGTTTCATTATCTTTCTGTTGCTTGAGGGGTTTCATGTGTCTGAAGTAAATAGTATTGCTCAGGTAAATGATCATTTGGTTAATGGAATTATATTTTTCATCGACCCAAAAAAAATGAAGCTGAATGTATGGAATTCAATAGGATTACTCTACAGTATACTAGTGCAATTTTTTTTCCTTTTATGTAGCTTACATTAAAGGATCATTCCACGATTAAATATTTGCAATTAAATTTACCATAATGACTAAGCAATATATTTCAGTAGAAACTATCCATAATAAATTGGCTATCCTCACTTAAATCAGCCATCCTAATCGATCGAATTAATTTCAGTAGGAATTTTGTGTGTGAATTTTATTAGTGTGTGTCACATGCATAGCACATTCCCATACCAATGTTTGTCAGTGAATATTTGCAGATGGACCTTCGCCACTCTGCAGTACTCTCTATCTCTCCCCATAATTTCCATTCCTCATGAACATATCTCTAACAATATGCAGTTCCTTGATGATTTTGTTTGTCTCCATTCTCTCTGCTGGTAATTCATTTGAGCAAAAGATACCAATTCGAAGAATTGAAGCGATGCAGTTGGTTGCTCTTGCATAATTCATGCTTTCAGAATCATCACTTGGTGTGAGCAAATGAGCGTCAATGACATCTGTGATTTGTTCAGGAAATGCCATCTTCACAAACATAGGAAGAGTAAGACCTCCTACAAACATATCATCAGTGGGTCTCTTTCCTGTAAACATTTCCAGTAAAAGGATCCCATAGCTATACGCATCTCCACAAGTTGAAACTTCATTCCCCATTCCATACTCTGTTATAGGTAAAATACATAGAAGCAATTAGAATGGATTACCCTGAGATAATTCCAAGAGAAAGAATAAAGTAAGACTGAGTATTACATTTTTCTTATCAAATTAATTTGGCAATATATGGAATGCTAAGAGAATATTTTCAGTGAAGTGCATAAGATGAACACATAGATGTGATAGTTTAATTATGATAATAAAATTACATCTTTAAATTCAGAACATATTCTAATAGAAATGTGTTAGTAAAACATGCATGTATGCATTTGAAACTTGCACGTGTGAAGAAAAACAAACAATGCATTGTGTTCAACCATAAAAGGAAAATCTACCGTGATGTTTAAGGTTCAGATGGTAATCTTGTTTTCTCTTTTAAAATTTTAGCCTAAGAAAATAATACAACATATATAAAAGTAACGAAATCAAGAAATAATCCAAAGCATAAGCTACGTCAATAGCTATATCTAACCTTGCCGTAAGGTCCAATTTCTTTGGTTTGGACTGCTCATTTGCTTTGGGATGCAACCAATCATCTAAACTTCCATTTTCCATGAACTCAAAAACTACAGCTTTGAAGTCATTACCTTTGAAATCTACACTTGAACATACTGTAAGGATCTTGAGAAGATTCCGATGCCGGATGTTTTTCACAGCATCACATTCTGCTATAAATGTCCTTGATGCTCCTTGTATTTGAAGGTTCAATACCTTTACAGCAACAACTTTCCTACTTTCACCATTGAGTAGTCCTTTATATAATGTACCAAAACTACCAGTCCCAATTATATTATTCTCAGAAAATCCATCTGTGGCTCTCACTAGATCACCATAAGTGACCTGCACATTTTGCTCAATTGTGGGTGATGAGTCAAGAGATTTTCTTCTTGAACCTTTTCGACGACATCGGACTATGAGGAAACAGAAAAGAATAATCACAAATATAAATAAAATAGTACTCCCGCAGATCACTAATACTGTACGCGAGTGATGTTTCTTGTTAAAGGGTTCAGATGGGCAAGCTGGCAGATGCAATTCTGGGTTCCCTCCACAAAGCTTACTATTTCCAATAACTGAAACTGCACTTGAATTTGCAAACACACCAAGTAGTGGCACTTCACCTTCAAAGTCATTGAAGGACAGATTCAAATGGTCTAGGAGATGAAAGTCCTGTAAGAAATCTGGTATTTTTCCTGACAAGTTATTTCTTGAAAAATCAAGCTCCTGGATGCCTCTTAACGAGGCTAAAGAAGAAGGAATACTTCCTCGAAAGAAATTTCCACCAAGATAAAGTCCCTCCAGCACTTGACATTCAGCAAGAGTGCTAGGGATTGTGCCGACCAATTTGTTCATGCTGATATCCAATATATTCACGTTTATTAAGCTCCCGATTTCAGATGGTATTGGCCCTGACAGTGAATTGGATGTCAAACTTAAAGATATGGAGAGTCCGGATATGGAGACTATTTCTTTGGGTATATTACCCGCAAGTTTGTTAGATCCAAGATTTAGACATATTAGGTTTTGGCACTTTCCAAGACTTGCTGGTATATTCCCGCTTAGTTCATTGGAATCTAGATGAAGTTCATTCAATTTGGCACTTTCCAAGACTTGCTGGTATATTCCCGCTTAGTTCATTGGAATCTAGATGAAGTTCATTCAATTGAGTAAGGTTGCCGATGGTAGATGGAATTCCCGCTTAGTTCATTGGAATCTAGATGAAGTTCATTCAATTGAGTAAGGTTGCCGATGGTAGATGGAATCTCTCCAGATAGCTTGTTATTGCTCAAATCCAATTGATTCAACTTCTGAAGCATCCCAATGCTTGAAGGAATAGAGCCATAAAGCGAGTTTCCAACCATATAAAGTAGAGTAAGGTTTACGAGGTTTCCGATATCAGAAGATATTTTTCCAGAGATGTAGTTATTATGCATATCAAGAAGCTGAAGGTTGGTGGAAAAATTAGCAATGGAATTCGGTAGCACGCCACTAAGATTATTTAACGATATGCTCAACCGCTCCAACTGGGTACAATTGGTCAAAGCGGTTAGGAAATTCCATCCATCAGGTTCTGTGGCTTCCAGATGGTTATCACCCAGAAATAGTGATTGCAGCTGTCGTAAACGTCCGAGGCTAGGAGGGATTACGCCACTGAAGCTATTTCCAGCAAGCTCAATGTATCGAAGACGAGATGCATTGGATAATGACATTGGGATAGGTCCGTGGAATTGGTTACAGTCCAGGCCAAATACCTCAAGCAGAGGAAGAGCTCGGCCTATGTTAGGTGGGAGTGAGCCAGATAGGTGATAGTTAAATGACAAATCTAAATAAGAAAGAGAGGAGAGATTCCACAATGAAGGTGGTATGACCCCGGCGAGGTCGTTGAAGTCCAAGTGAAGTTCTTCTAGTTCAGAAAGCCTACCGATTGAATGTGGTATGCTTCCTGATAATTGGTTATTATCAAGTGCAAGGCTAGTAAGAGAAAAGAGATTACCTATGCTCGGTGGGATGCTGCCAGTGAGTTCGTTATCGTGCAAGTAAAGTACAGTTAGAGAGGCGAGGTTAGCTATGCTAGATGGGATGCTGCCAGTGAGTTCGTTATTGTACAGATAGAGTTGAGTTAGAGAAGTAAGGTTTCCGATAGTATGCGGGATGCCACCATATAATTTGTTTCCAGACATAGATAGAACAAAAAGCAAGGAAAGACTTGTTAATGAAGAAGGTATACGACCTGTAAGGCTATTGTTTTTTAAATTTAGGACCTGTAGGCTAGAACAATTGCTGAGACTGACTGGAATTTCACCTTGGAGCTTGTTATCCCGCAGAGAAAGTACCTCTAATTTTGAGCAGTGAGACAGTGAAGCAGGAATACTTCCTTCGAGAAAATTCAAACTCAAGTAAAGATACCGCAACCGAGGAAGGCCACCAATCTCTTGTGGGATGGATCCACTAATTTGATTGTTTGAGAGATCTATCCTTCTGAGAAATGTGAGATTAACTATGGTTGTTGAAATAACACCAACCAGATTAAGAGAGCTCAAGTCCAAGGATACAACCCTCTGAGGATGTCGGAGTCCACCGCAAGTGATCCCTAGCCACCGGCAGAAATGAACAGACACGTTCCACGAGGCCAGTGATCCTCTAGGATCGCCGGATATCGTGGATTTGAAGGAGAGAAGTGCTTGTCGATCAGTGAAATTGTTGTGCTTTGGATTGAAGGTGGGGGTGGATGTGGAAGCTTGTGGACATGAGAGGAGGACTAGAGCTGTGAGCGCTAAAAAAATTAATAACAGACGAGCCATTGGAATGAATTCCCCAAGAAGATGTGAATAATTCAGGATCAAACCCTTGCTATCTATTTATATTTTTAGGATGTTTCTGTCGTCGTATAAAAGTCTCAGTTAAGTCTTTGGTCAGTCAATATAATACCATATTAAAAACGCAGTGGGGGCATGCACAATTTGAGGAATATGAAACCTCCCTTCGTCCTCTTAAGAAACAGAAATTATACTTTGGTCAATCAATATTCCTAATTAAAATAGGACAAGATTATATACTGTGGTCTTTGGTCAATCAATATTTCTAGGGAAAATTTACAAAATAGTCTGTTTTTGCTAATTATTTAGCAAAATAGACCGTTTTGCTAAATAATTTGCAAAATACACCTCTTTTGAAAAAAAAGAGGTCGATTTTGAAAAACAAGACTTAGAAAACATACAGGACTACTAGTCCCTTATGTTTAGAGCCAACTTAATCACGGATTAGTGACTCAGAAAACATACGGGACTAGTAGTCCCGTATGTTTTCTGAGTTCATCTTAATGTTTTGTGAAATTTTCTGAGTTCACTAATCAGTGATTAAAACATACGGGACTACTAGTCCCGTATGTTTTCTGAGCTGTTTTGCAAAATAAACCTCTTTTTGATCTGTTGGTAAAAAAGATGTCTATTTTGCTAATTATTTAGCAAAACGGTCTATTTTGCTAAATAATTAGCAAAAACGGACTATTTTGCAAATTTTCCCTAATTTCTACGAAGATTGAAAGTGCATACGCGCTAACTTTTTAATTCCGAGGAAACTTCCAGCTCTCGGGAAGAAAATACCAACTTCCTTAAAAAACATAAGATAACAGAAAACCTTCAAATTGCAAGAACGCAACAAAATGCCTTATTCAAATTGCAATGCCCCCCTTAATTTCATGGATTAAAGTTATCAAAATCTATTCAATCATACCACCGGCCAACCCATTCTTCCCTGGAGAAATCAGTCAATGTGCCTCTTGAACTAAAATACTATGAAATTACACTTCGGTCTTTACTGCTAAGAAAGTCTTTGTTTCATCCAGGCCAAAAATGTTCAAAATAAGAACTATAACAATAGAAATAATGGAATTATAAGTTTAGTTTTTTTTATTCAAACCTCAGAAACGAAAATTCTTTTACATTATATTAAAAACGAAGTGGGGGCATGCACAATTTTGGAGGAATATGATATCTTCCTTCATCCTATTAAGAAACAGAATTACACTCTGGTCAGTCAATATTCCTCTCCTGATTTAAATATGACAAAATCATACTTTGGTCTTGGCTGTTAGGTAAGTTTTGTTTTATCAGGAATAAACCATTCAAAATAAGTATTATAACCAAAAACGCAGTGGAATTATGAGTTTAAAGACAAAGATTTGCATACATGAGAACAACATATTGATAATTCCTACAAAGATCGAAAGTGCATACGCGCTAACTTTTAACTAAACTATTTCAGTCATCCTTGACTGCAATATGTGTCTCGAAATTGGTCCTCACAAGGCACGGGGCCCATGAATGATCAATGATGAGTAAGGACTACTATTTCTTTAGGGTCAGTTTGTTTGCCTAAAAAAAGAGGGAAATCAAAGAAAAGGAAACCTATTTTTAAGAAAAATAGGTTTTGGGATTGTTTGGTTGGCTAAAAAAAGAAGGAAATCAAAGAAATGGAGACAGAGATGAGATGCGTTGCCACCTTATTATAGGATGATGTGAGTGATTTTTTAAGAAAACTTGTTTTGATGTTGTTTGGTTGGCGGAAAAAATAAGAAAATGAATTATAAGAAACTTATTTCTTGTATTAGGTTGTTTTCTTTTGTTTGGTTATTTCTTAAAAATAAGAAAATAGATGAGATGAGATGAGTTGTCATTATATTATTGGATGATGTGACCCACACTTAAGGAAATTGTTTTCCTAGCTTTTTGGGAGGAAAACAAAGAAATAAAATGTTAATGAGATGAGATGAGTTGTCACAATCTTATTGAATGATATGAGTGATTTTTAAATATGAAATGAGATGAGTTGAGTGATGTTGTGGATGAAAATAATATTTTATTAGATGTGGTAGATGTGATAGATGAGTTGTTGGATGAAAATAATATTTTATTATATGTGGTGGATGAGGTGTTGGATAAAAATAATATTTTATTAGATGTTATGGGTGAGTTTTAGGGATGGAAATGTGTGAAATTGTATTAGATGTTATGGGTGAGTTTTAGGGATGGAAATGTGTGAAATTGTACTTTTTGAGATTTCTTGGTTTTTATTTCTATTTTTTGGTTTTTTAGGAAATAAGAAATTGTACTTTTTGAGATTTCTTGGTTTTTATTTCTATTTTTTGGTTTTTTAGGAAATAACCAAACATGCCCTTACAAGAAATGGAAACATAAAGGTTAAGCCCAAATATCACAGAGATCAACAGGCTAAATTATCAAATTGGTATTTTTATTCGACCATGTTTGCCAGTTTGGTATATTTAAAAAATCCGACGACAACAAGGTATTTTTTCTCGGCCTTTTAGTCAATAAGACACTTTCTTCTCGCCGACGGCCAAAAACCAATAGCGAGTGACTCACATGACGCTCATGTGACAAAATTAATGCTGACATGACTATGTTTTAAAGAGAAGGTGGGAATTTAACTAACAAGGAAACCCTAAATTGCCAGATCCCCCCAAGACTCAAACTTTCTGGGCAGGAGAGAGCTCACCCTGAAATCGGTAGTTGCAGAGAATCTCTCTGAGGGAGAGATCGTGGATGTGATCTCTCTAAAGAAGGCGCCGTGGGTCTTCTCCATTGCTGCAGTCTTCAACTCGTGGAGGCAAAGGTAAGACTTTGTATTTTTTGATGTGGTCTTCAACTCGTGGAGAGCACATGTGACTTTGTTTTACAGTCTTCATTAACTTTAGTTTATTATAAAGGTAAATTATGGATATAATTGTGTTGAAATCATAAGATCAGGGTTTACTTGCAACCAATTTAGGGTTTTAAGTGAAACCTAGTTTTTTTTGAAAGTGTTGATATTTTTTTGAAATTCATATGTAATTGAGGTCGATTATGGGTTCAAGGATGTTGAAATCATCGACTTAATGCTCATGTACACCAATTCAGAGTTCTACGTGAAACCTAGGTGTAAGATTTTTTTTAACAAAAAATATATTCTACTACATCACAAAATTAAACTTTGGTTAAGGCATAGCTCTGCCAAGACAAGTCTTGCATACATGAGAGCACAACGATGATAATGCATATATGCTAACTCGATCTAACTCTTTAAGTAAACTATTTCGAAGTCATCCTGGTCCGCAACATTGGTCTCGAAATTGGTCCTTAGAAGACACAGGGGCCATGAATGATTAATGATGAGTAAGAACTAATGTTTCTTCACAGGAAGTGGATACGTAAAATATTACAGAGATTAACACATTTGAGTTCTACTCTCTATCCCTTCTCATGACAACCTTCATTCGCCCGCCACAATTTTCCCAGCGATTTCTGTTTGCCAGCAAACTTTCATCCAAGAAATCAGGGAGATTAGACTTCATGTTTCATCTAAGTGCCTGTTTCTTTTTCTTTTTTCCCCCTCTCTTTTCTCTTTCTTCTTTTTTCTTTTTTTTTACATAGCCACCTAAATGATTCTGCCGTAGAAGGTACAATACTATACTAGTTTTGTGATTCTGTTGTCCAGGATCAGCAAACTCAAGTTACTCAGTGTTGAAAGCGGTCGGGGCTATAGTTTTTTCGGAGGCAAAAAATGTGGATGTGGGGTCCACCCACTTTGATGGCTTTTCCCAGCCAAATTGTTTCAGCGTGAAGACTTCGGTTTTGTCCAGCGGACAAAGTGAAAGCCCACCCGATAGCCTATACAAGCCTATATATACTATTTGTTTTCTAGGGCATTGTGTAGCAAGGTGGATTCTTTTTTCGGCGGCTTTGTTTCTTGGAGAAAACGCAACAAAGAATAAGGAGAAGAAGAGGGAGTGCAGGTACAGCAGGAGGTGAAAAACAGAGGTTCTTTTTTTTGGCAGCGTGTAAGGCTTTGACAGGGTCTTGAACTGCGTGCAACAAGAGAAATAGAGTGTTTTTTTACTGCTGTTGTGAGAGATTAGAGAGTTAGTTTGAGGACTGCGTGCAACAAGAGAAATAGAGTGTTTTTTTACTGCTGTTGTGAGAGATTAGAGAGTTAGTTTGAGGGTTTAGTTTGTGAGATTGTAAACCTATTGTATTTTCTCTCTAATAGTAGATCCCCCCTCCTTGCCCGTGGATGTAGGCAATTTGTCGAACCACGTAAAATTGGTTTGTTTGAGTTTGTGGCAATTGTAATAGTTTTAGGATCCCTTTGTTTGCGTCGAAAATTGTTGTATTCATTGCGGTATTCATTACAACTTCGGTCGTTACAATGAAAATAAAAAGATGGTCTTTTTATAAGACTCTTACACAATGAAAACAAAAAGTTACAACTCTCGTCAAAACAGACACAGAGATCGTTTATCGGTCTTCTGCTTGCGTGGGATCTTTGCCTATGCCGGGGTTTATCCGTGGACCGCCTTAGATCTGGATCCGGTTGAGGCAGAGCTTCGCCTTCGCCGAGGAAGTATTTGATTTGAAGCGCTGAGATCGACCAAGCGAAATCAGGGCTCTTCTCGAGATAAAGACCAAGCCTGATCTCAAGGAACGGAGGAAACGTGTTTCGGATCTCTCGAACTCTCCTTCTTTATGCCGAAGAACTCGCCAAGATCTGTCAATCCTCGCTGAAATTCGTGCTCCTTTGACTCCTCAATCCGGCAGCACTTCGTCCTCTTGATAATAACTCCGCCCCCTCTGAAAGGAGGCCCTATGCTTGTATTTATAGGACTTCGGAAGCGGTTATTTGGATGAGAACAAGTGATTTGGCTCTATCTTCAGTTAACAACAGCCTAACCACGTTTGGGGGATGATATCAGGTCAGTTAAGAACCCTTGGAACAGATGAATCCTGCAAAAAACCACTTTAAAACC